GTCTATGCCAGTGTTTATGCCCCGCATGAGCCTCCTCCTGCCCTTCCTCAACTAAACCTTCAAGCATAACCTTCTATTCCTTTCTCCCTCATGTACCTATCTAGCTTTCCCTTAAATACATCTATGCTATTTGCCTCAACAACTCATTGTGGTAGCGTGTTCCAGATTCCCACTATCTGTGTGAAGAAATGTCTTCTAACTTCCCTATTTGATCTATTTGTGACTATTTTATATTGATGGCTCCTGGTTTTGGTCTCCATCACAAGTGGAAACATCTTCCCTATATCTACCCTATCAAAACCTTTCATCATTTTAAAGACCTCTATCAGGTCATCCCTTACCCTCCTCTTTTCAAGAGAAAAGAATCCAAGCATGTTCAGCCTTTCCTGATAGGTATAACCTCAGTTCTGGGATCATCCTTGTGAATCTCCTTTGCACCCTCTCCAGTCCCTCTACATCCCTTCTATAATGTGGGGACCAGAATTGCACACAGTATTCTAAGTGTGGTATTGACTGCACCACTAAACTGTGATCTTTCTTGGCTTTTCAGTATGATTTTTTGTCTCTCGAATTATTAAGTAGTATTAAAGCGTCCATGGGGGAAAATCAAGGAATGGAATTATTGTAGGAAGCTCCAGCGGTGGAGATGCCACCAACACATACTTAATGGGAAAAATAGCCTTATTCTATATAGTGTAAAAAATGTTCTGCTCCCATGTACTGGAAACAGCTCACATTCCTTCCCTTCCACGGCTTTTGTTACCTCAATAACTCAATGCTGTAGTGTAAGATATTTTGTTTCTTTCAAATGTGATGCACTTTTAATGGAAATTACTTAATTTTTTTTCATATTTCTGATCTCTGCATTTATAGATAAATGATTTTTTTCAGTGCTATTACAGCACACATGACAACTTAACCTTATGGAGGACAATGAATGAAAAAGACTAAATGCATTTGTATTCCCCAAAAAGGAATTTAATCTGCATAAGCGACAATTTCATATAACATAACATGTAGGAGCAGGAGTAGGCCATTCGGCCCTTTGAGCCTGCCCCGCCATTCAATCATGGCTGAACTTCTAATCTAACTCCAGCTAATAACCTAACTCTGCCTTATCCCCATATCCCTTAATCCCTTTTGCAATAAGAAATCTATCTATCTCAGTCTTGAATATGTTCAAGGACTGAGCGTCAAAAGTCCTTTGGGGTAGTGAGTTCCATACATTCATCACCTTTTGAGTAAAGAAGTTCTTCCTCAACTCAGTGTGAAAAGGCTGGCCTCTGATTTTAAGGTTGTGAGCCCTGGTTTTAGTTTCTCCAACCAGGGGAAACAATCTCCCACTATCTCCTCTATCATGCCCTTTGATGATCTTATAGTTTTCTAGAAGATCCCCTCTAATTCTTCTATATTCTAGAGAATATAGGCCCAAATTGGTCAGCCTATCCTCGTAACTCATCCCCTTCATCCCTGGTACTAACCTCGTAAATCTACGCTGCACCCCCTCCCAAGGCAAGTACATCCTTCCTCAAATAAGGAGACCAAAACTGCACACAGTATTCCAGGTGTGGTCTCACCAGGGCCCTATACAGTTGCAGCAAGACTTCCCTACTCTTACACTCTAATCCTTTCATAATGAATGCTAACATACCGTTCGCCTTCCTAATTGCTGCACCTGCAGACTAACTTTCTGTGATTGGTGTACAAGGACACCCAAGTCCCTCTGGACGCCAACACATTCCAATCTCTCCCCTTCTAAAAAATAACCCGCTCTACTGTTTTTGCTACCTAGGTGGATGACTTCGCACTTCCCTACATTATACTTCATCTGCCACCTACCTGCCCAATCACCTAACCTATCTATGTCTCTCTGCATTTTTTAATGTCGTCCTCTGTGTTGACACTTCCTCCTAGTTTTGTGTCATCCACGAATTTAGATATATTAGCTTCGATGTCCTCATCTAGATCGTATAACCAATAACTAATGCAAATCTTTGACTCTCTAACAGTATTTATGGCAGAAATGTATGTAGCAGATTATATAATACATTTAACTGATTCTATAATTGGCTTTGGTGCTCTGTGCTGAGAGGGGAAATCCTCCATCCAGCGAGCCTTGTTGGATGTATGTCAATCTCTTCAAACTGATAGAAAAACTTTCTGCCATACATTTCATGCTGATACTGTCAGTGTAGATAGATGCTGTTTATAGCATAAGTGGCCATGGCCTAATAACCAATGTATGAGTGACAAAGTACATTCGGGTGGCAATGCACTACTCAACAGTATGAGAGGATGCAAGCTCTTTCCTGCTGTTCTGTATGTGGTAAATTGTTGCTCTCAGCTGAGCTCCTCGAGAGGCAGCAAATGATAATCGGGGGATATAATTGCTTGCAGACTCTTTCATTTGGGCTGTGGATATAGAACTACGTGACAGAAATGAAAAATGAACACAGGTCAAGTCAGACTAAAGATGAGAAGATTTATTGTTTTCCCAGAGTGGCAAGAGCCACAACAAATTACATTTGTATAATGCCTTTCACATCAGGACGTCTCAAGGCCATGGACAGTCAGGCTTTATTCCAGGACTATTGGTTGATATTCATACCGGAATAAAATGAAAAACTCAATGAGGTTTCAGAATTATCCTTGTTTTAAAAGTATAAGTTGCCTTACACGTTCATTCCAAAACACATCTCCCCTTAAAAGTGGTTCTATATAATTCGAAACATTCAGCAGCATATTGCAATTCTTTTCACTGGTTTAGCTGAGTTATGCTATAATAATTAACTCTCTAAAGAAGGAGCTGGAGACATATGTGGTTAGAAATTTAGCAATGGGATCAAAGGTTAAAGAAATTAAAATGGACAGAAAAAAAATCAAATACTCTATGAAACATAAGAAGGATTCCTGAGCCAAGGAGAGTGATCAGAAAGAGTTAAAGCATGCAGATGTGGGAAATGAGAGATTGTTGGGGTCTAACTTGCAGTTTAAAAAATGTGAGTATCTTCTTCCTTGACGGAACTCCCGTTATGTCCTGAAGATACAACGTGAATTTAACTTTTGACTTGCGTCTTTCAACTACTGGTTTGCAAAACTACAGTTTATCTGGACACCGAATGCATGACCCCACTTCAAGACATTGGCATTGAGAACAGGATGGGTGGAGGGGTTCTGTCTTCAACATATCTGGGTAATCCATATTCAGTAAGTAGTTTCCAAATTTAGACTGCAAATTAGTCACCAAGTTTGGTTTTGCTTCCTTTGCAGGTTTGTACATGGGTCATGCCACGATTGGAGTGAAGTCAATGAAACACAATTTCACCTCTTATTTTATTTTAAACTAGCTGTACCTGTTGCAGCTACACTTGCAACCAACGGATCCAATATGGAATGTAGATTTCAGTGATACCACTCACAACCATTTAACATGCCAGAAACAGTGTTGTACACCTTGCATGTCTTTCTGCGTCGAAGTCCAGCCGCGCTGTTGTTTGAATGGGTAGTTTATTTTGCCGTGTTCTTGCATGCCCTTCTGCAACTCATTTTGGCTTGCTTTTGCAGTCCTTTGAGCATTGTAATCCTGCCATGCTGTTCTTTGTTCTTCAGTTTCATTTAATCGGCCTTCTCGCTTTAGTTCGGCATTTTATTTGTCCTTGAAAGTCTTGACTTTCGCTTCAAAAATATGCTATTGGGAGGACTCCTGTGGGAGGACTGAGTGGGAAGACTCTTGTTGGTAGGACTCCTGTGGGAGGACTCCTGGTTGGGAGGACTCCTGTTGGGAGGACCGTAGCTCCCACGACAACCCAAAGACTACCATACGTTTGTTGCAGATTAGTAGATATCTCTTTAGAAGGGTGTGTGCTTTCCTCTGTTGCTACTATGTTGCAGAATATCATGCATACCTCATATTTTGGGGCTTAATGGAAGCATTGTTTAAATATAGCTCAACGATAGGAGATCCGCGAAAACACCCATCGCACTCCCACATGCAAGACCTTTCCGATGAGGTATAAATCATGTCTCTAAGTCAATCATTAATTCCGTTATTGGCAGAGACACAGACAAACACACACATACACACACTTTGTCTTTATTAGTATAGATGAGGCCTGTAAATACATGAACAAACAATTACAGCAAAAACTATATTTTGAGAACTCTGATTCAATACAATCGACTGGAGAGTGGCGTACTCACAAGCTGGTCTGATGCCGTCTAATAGTTGCAACATTAGAGTCATTTTTAAAAGAAGTGTTAATGAATGCCACAAATTAGAACTCAATGTGTGATGAATTACAGGGACACCCTTGCGCTACCACACTTTAAGCCATCAGGATGCCAGACAAAAGTAATAATTTTCATAAATGATTTACCAGTAAAGACTGCAGCTGACAACAAATGGTCAGTACGTAATGCCCATTGCTCATACAGGGCAAATACAATCTTTATGGCACAAAGAACAGTCTAGTCTCAAGAAGGGGTGTGCGGCAAATATTTTGCTTTAGGAGAGAATGATGAGGCAAGTGCTGTTTTTGTACCGCCATTATATGCCAGTGTGAATGCATTTTGAAACATTACAGTACGTTTGTAAATCAGTGAGAAAAGGTTTTCCAACATTTTGCAGGAATCTGTCACTTCTTTTAATTTTCACTTCTTTGCTATTTCTTGCTGTGCTGTATTTTTAAACTGAACACATATAACATATAATGTAAATACCACGTATTTTCTGATTTCTCAAAGCTGGATCATGGAAAGGCTAGTCCTTTCTAAATAAAAGTCAATATTTTCAAGCTTTATGTTATCATTTGAATTGTGACAATTATTATCTATTACAAGAGAGAAAGCTGCAGCCAGGGGCATATCCTAATGTAATCAGTGACCTCACGAAATTGACCCCGATAGATACTGAGAGCCCCCTCTGCCATGGTGACAGCTTTAAACTGAGCAAAATTGATTAGAAATTAGATCAGAAAACATTTTTTCACACAGAAGTTTGTGAAAATCTGGAATGCATTATAGACAGAATCAATTAGGATGTTTAAAAGAAAGATGGGTATTGGATTGCCTAAGAAGCCTTAAAAATTGATTGGGATACTTTAAAGGAAGAGAAGATAGATACTTGGGAAGTAAGAGTATTAAGGGTCTTGGAAAAAGGCAAGAGAAACAGGATTAAAAGATTTGCCATAATCTATTACATTTGTTCAATAGTTTTGTATTAAACTGTCATTTAGCTCTGATCTCATTCATAAGGGACCAACGAAGAAATACGTTAGAGATAGTCTATGCATATAAAACACAAAAAAAATTGTTTAACCAAATTGTGGAAACCTGTAGAATACAAGCATTGTAATCAGAAAAGGCAAGGAAGCCAAAATAACACACAGACTAAGGTTGTACACTCACTTAGTCATTAACACTGGTTGGTAATCTAGAGATGTTAATTCAGCTCCTCCCCCCCACCCTACCCTTTGGTTGAACAATATCCCCAAAGATGCTTTCTTTCATACTGTTGACATCATTAATTCTCATCCCCCTTTATCAAAACTATTCAAAAGAACAAATTGAACAGAAAAGAGAAAACTGATTTATAGTTGTATTGTTACAAGCAAGTAATGGCATTTTCTTTGAAAAAAACATAAACGTACTTCTATTTAATGAGTACATCTGCACAGAGAAGTTAAAAAAATCCTTGAAATTAATGCAACTCTCAAATACACTTTTAAAAAATGAGACCTCCCGTTGCCTTTTAATCCCAGCCTCCAATGCAAATAAAACATTGTGAAGTGAGAAAATACAATTAGAGTTTCAGAGGAATTACAGGCCAGTATTTGGGCTGCTTTTTATCACACTTCCTATCAAAAGTAAGTTGCATTGCTGTTTCCATTCCTTGGATTTTAGCAGCAGATTCTCCATAGAGTCTCTTCATTTCCACCACTCTCCTCTCACCGGGCCTCTCTGCTGGTGGTTGCACTGTTCTCCCCATCGTGCTGTGAAAATCATGGTCTGCCAAAACATACATTTTCTGCTGCTCATCGTCATACTCCTGCTGTCGTTCTGAGAACATCAAAAAAAATAGGGCGGCTTTAGTGATCATTGAAGAGATAGGAGGGGGAGGGGTTGAAATCAGTGAGTGTAATAGTCCAAAAATGTCAAGTGATCTAAACAGGACTTTATAAAACCTCAGAATATTCTACGTAAATAGGATTGTGTCGCCATCAGAATTTTTGTTAGCAAGTCACACTGAGTAGAAATTCAGTGGCAGAAAAGAGGTACTGCAATATTATAATTTACTCCATAGGATCAAATAAAATATTACAATATACATACGCACGTTTCACCCACAAAATACAGTCAATCCAGTTTACAGTATATCCTGTGAAGCGCTTTGAAATGTCTCAACAACGTGATAAGGCGCTATATCAAATGCAAGGATTATTATTTTTAATATTAGTATAGCATAACTTTGCTCCAGATGCCCCGGAGACCTCTGGTCAATCTTGTGCTGTGCATCCACAGGAAGCACCAACGGACAACCTAATCTGTTAGTGCACAGTTTTCTGTGTGCTGCACTTATGCGCAAGTTGTGACATCAGCTATGACCTGATGACTCTTGCAAATCATTCCCATACACCATTGGGCAGACATGACAGTTCTCTGTCCAGATGACTTGTCATAAATCCTGCCTCTGGCTCAGATGGTTTTAAATTATAAAAAAAATCCCATTCCCTATTGAAGGGAATGACTGGCCAAGGGATCACTCTACATGCTTGAGACCAAATAATATGCGTCACCAGGCTGTGAGAGGGGGACAATATGACAGTGCGCCCGATTCTTTGCCTTACTTGACGCTAATATAATTTGGTCTTTTCAGCAGCAGTTGCTGATTTGCAAGCAGAAGTCGACGTGCCTGCTTTTCCGCTCCTCCCTAACCAAGGGTGTTGAGGTTTCATTATTGACACCTCGATTGAGGAACACATTCATTGACCTTGACATTAGAAAAGCAAGAGCCAAATTGCTTTGCCTTTGATTTTGCTTATGTGAACTGATTATAAGTGCTGCTGGCTTGAATTAAACCCATGAAATACCTTCTGCATCTGGAATTACAAGCTGAATTACCACAGTGCAATAGCTCTGTACAGCAGTTTGGTCCTAATTAATAAGCAAGATTTGATCTTTGAAGAACTTGTAATGAACTACAAATACATTTTTAAAATACAATATAGTATTCTGGCAGCAAGAGTCTGTCAGTGAAGAAATCGTGCCTTTCAGAAACCACACTGGTCTCTCTATTCCAGAGGCACTTCACAGAAAAGCAGTTCTGTACTGCTTGAGGGAACTGTAACCCCTGTGCAACTGATGATTCTGGAGCCCTGGCGGCAACAGACAAACGAATGGTCGCTCCGGATGAGTCCTGCTTTTAAAGAAGCAAAAAGTGACTTTCAGTTCCTGATTGTGGGCATGCCTTGGGGTCAGGGAAAGATCTATGCAAACTGTAAGCTCAGGCCACGTGAGGATGTGTAAGCGGTAGCATATTACATTCATCACCAATGTGGTACTGCTCACAGGGAAGCCCTGACAACCACCTCTCAGGGATATTGAAGTTGGGGCTACCATTGACAGCAACGTGTAGCTTTCTGGTTTCACTTTAGATTAAAATGATGGTGCATGAAGTCAGGCAGAGGATCAGCAACAAGTGACAATTCACTGAAGGACAATAACTTTGATTTAGTATATTCATATTTGACCGAATGCATTCACAGCAACTTCTTTCTGCTCTGTAAAACTGTACTTTCTTAGTACAGAAATGTTCCCTCCACCCAAAGAATAGGATGGCACGCACCTCAATGAGATTTTAGGAATTTTAATTTCTCAAACACTGTAACTTGCCATGTAATTGCTGCTCTTACACAAAGTCCTGGGAGACATGGTGTGGGATGTATTGTAATCTTGTAGACACACTGTTGTAGCTTAATGGAAATTCCTAGAAGCCCAAATGGCAAAAAAAGTAACAATAAACTACATTATTTGATTTCCACCATTCTGTAAATAAGTGAGAAAATATTGAAATTAATCTATGATTGCATCTAACCTCTTTAGGGGGTTGTTGTGGCAAATAATAAATTGCGAGAAGTTATGGAGAAAATTCTCCCGGAATTCCCCACATACTACGCTACTTGTTGGCGTGCAGACAAGAAATAGTTTACCACTGGAGTAATCCACAAGCAATGGCCAGATGGCCCACGTCTTAGCCTCAAAGATGAACACAGAGGAATGAAGCCAATCACCAGACTAATTGCTGCAACTAGCACGTCTAATCCTCCAACGCAAACAGTAACATCTTGCTTCACATATGCCTCATGCCCTCATTTGTACAATTCCACTTCTATAAACAAATGGTTAGAAAGAATTATAAATTACCTTTAAGAAGCTAGGGATTATTTATTGGTAGATTCCTCTCCCGTCTATCCCATGTATGAGTTTTCTTTGTGTATGAGGTCAGAATTCAGTGTTTATTATGGAATTATTATGGAATTGGGAAAAGGACATTATTGTCTCACTTTTGGCACTATGTATCCAAGGTATCATTGGGTCCCAATGTCAGTATTATCATTTCTCAACTCAGGCCAGGTCTTAAATCTAACTCAAACTTGACATGATGAAAGTCTACTGGCTGTAAGACTGGGCTCATACCATAGAATTGGTGGTGAATCATCACTAATATAATAAGCCAAAAATACTGTATAAATAGAAACCCAAGCCAATAAAATCACGCTCAAATCCTGCTCCTGACACCACCTGGAGGAAATGGTTTCAAAAACAGTGCAGTATAAACAAGCTGGGTGTGATTCACACTGGCCTCACTAGTCCTTGGTACCTTGAAAACACAATCAATGGATTCTCAGGAACCTTTGGTCCAACAAATTTCAAAATACCTTAGAAATTCTGAAACCGGGTGTCACTGTGTTTCTTAAACACACCCAATGCAATTGATAAAGTAGCAGCATAAATTAGGCTCCTCTTGCGAGGTTAAAGGTGTAGTGTTTTGATGCAGGTTTTTACGCTGGCGCTAATGCTGTCTACAGTTAATAAAATAATAATCCTTTCATTTGGTATAATGCCTCATTATGTAGTTGCGAAATCTCAAAGTGCTTCACAGGATATATTGTAAAGTGGGGTATTTTTATGGGGGTTACCAAAAGGGGAAAAAAGGGAGATTTACAATGTCACATAACATTAAGCATTAATACCGAAGAACAGTGAATAGAGCTATCTGAGAGAGATGCTGGTAAACAAATAAACAAATAATAATGAGCCTTGCATTTGATATGGCGTCTTTCACATCGGGAGGACGTCTCAAAGTGCTTCACTGGATTTACTGTAATATGTAGCAACATATGTAATATGTAGAATGCCAACTGACCTGACAGTATAAGGGTTGTTATATGAGCTGAGAATTCACGTTATTCTGGATACTTAAGATAGTAATCAATTCGCAGAGCGGCTGTATTTTGAAATGCATTTTAAGAAATCAGTAAAGTTCACTGCATACCTTTGAACAAGTTGAAAGTAACTGCATAGCTTACAATTATATTCTGAAGCAACTCTATATACAGTGTTTACATTATGCAAAACTTGGCCACATGATATTGCAATATTTATTCCATCAATACAGTATTCAAGAGTTTAGACTCTGTCATTTCCATAATGCTCAACCCAGGTCCTCCTCATAAACACGCTCACAATTGAGTCATTGAGTTTTCTCCTCTCAAAGCTCATTTGAACACCGACTAATCATTTACACGCTGTCACAATTCCACTTCATACTTATTGCAATTTAAAGCATTGTGACTTGAAATACAATGTACTGTACAATATTCCATTAAAATCCAGCAAGAACCACTCCCACCAGCGATCTGTCAGAGAAAAGGAGATCTTAAACTGACTGTGGTTAACGTTTCTATTGCTGTAACAGTACTGGTTGTCTTGCGTATTTTTAGCTACAGCCCCAGCAAACTGGCCTTTTTCCCCCCAGTGGAATCTAATCCAGATGTTCATAAACTTACGAAAAAGGTAACAGATGCCAGGGAGCAAATTTATAACAGACCAAGGACTGGGTAATAATGAGATATTTACCCTTTGAGCGTCATGTTTCAGTACATTCATGTAAATATCCAATAAATATTCTTCAACAATAAACAGGGCCCCGAGTTTCCCTTTCTTGCATGTTCTAGTGGGGGATGGAAGGGGTAGGACTAGAAACATCATTTTTGCACTTTCAGGCAGCTTTTTGGCTTTATCCTCACTCTTGTATTGAAATCCCTTCACACCCTTGGCACCCCCCTATCTCTCCAACCTGCTCTCTCCCTCCACTACTACCCGCTGCCTCCCCTCGACTGGCTCCGGCCTCCTTCTTGTCCCCTGGACCCACCACCCCACCATCGGCGGCCATGCTTTCAGCCACTACACCCTGAAGCCGTGGAACTCTCCCTCAATCCCTTCGCCTTGATCCCTCTCTCCCTATTTACAGGTCACGCTTGAAGACCTTCGTCTTTGACTGGACCTACGGTCACCTTCCCCCTCCGCCTGGCTCGGCATGAGGCTCCACCACTGTTAAGCACGCTGAGACACCATCTAGCGTGAAGAGCGCTATGTAAATGCAAGCTGTTGTTATATCCTGTTACTACTACTACCTTGAAAAGAGAAGGGAGCCTCTCGCAGAGTCCTAGCCAACAACACCCTCCCCCCCTCCCCCCATAAAACTTACTCGCTTCATGGCTAAACGTGGGACATTTAGTTGCGCAAATTTGCTGCCGTGTTCAACTACAAAATACAGTCACTAAACTTTATAGTATACCCTCTGAAGTACTATGAGATACCATCCAACATGAAAGTCACTGTATCAAATGCAAGGATTATTTATTATTTAACCAGCACATCATCAACCAGTATCTCCAAAATGTGCACTATCCTTAAGATAATGGAAGCGTTGGAAGCATTGACCATTTATTTAGAATTTATTTACAGAATACGCTATGAATATAACATTATTTTGCAATACATTTTTAAGCCGTCTCTCAGTGACACCTATCGACAGAGAAATTAAATAAACTGAGAAGCTGTTGCTTGCTACTGTGTTGATTGATGCAACGTGCTGCCCCCTGGCGCAGAAAACTGGACACAACAGAGCTTCATGAAAATCGTAGAAAATTACATGGACGGGTGATAAAAATATCATTACACTTGATATAGTGTTTTTCACATCAGGAGCACGTCTCCAAGTTCTTTACATGGTTTACTGTAAAGTGTAATGATGGTGTATTTTTGTAGGCGAATGTGGCAGTCAATGTTGAAAATGGCAATGTGCCACAAACAGCCATGAAGTTAATGACCAATTTTATTTGAGGAATTGTTGGCCTGGACAGCAAGAGAAATTCCCTTCCCTTCTCACATCTGATTCATGTGTTATGCATCAACAGCATTGCCATTTTTAATTTCAGATTTCCAAAACGTGAAGTAAGCTGCCTTGCTCCAGTCTTCCAAAAAAATCAACTCAATCAAACTCGGCAATTCGAGACCTGTCTCAAACCTCCATTCTTACAAAACTCCACGAGCTTAGTGGATCACTAAACATCCTCAAATTTCTCCACACCACCCATCTGTGTAATCTTATATAGCCCTATGACTCTTCTGACTCTGATTTACTGCTCTCAACCCACAACAACAACAACAACCTGCATTTATATAGCAGCTTTCACTTGGGTAGTGTCTCGAAGCTCGACAGTGGTGGAGTCTGACAACAAGCCAGGGGGAGAGGGTGGGGTGAGGTGACTATAAGCACGATCAAAAAGGAAGGTCTTTAGGTGGGATTTGAAGGTGGGGAGGGAGGGGGAAAGGCGGAGGGATTGAGGGAGAGAGTTCCAGAGTTTCGGGGCATAGTGGCTGAAGGCACAGCCACCGATGGTGGAGAGGAGGGGATGGGGGACAAACAAGAAGCTGGAGCCAGCCGAGTGAAGGCAGCAGGTGGTGAAGTAGGGGGTAAGCAGGTTGGATAGGTAGGGAGGTGTGAGGGCATGATGCGATTTGAAAACACGTACGAGGATCTTGAAATCAATCCGTTCAGTAATTGGGAGCCCGTGGAGTCTGGTACAGACTGGTGTAATGGGGGTCTGGAGTTTTGTGCGGTGAGTATGCGGGCGGTAATTGACTCAGTACTGATGCCAGGTTTTACCTGGATTTCAAGCCAACGGTTTTATATCAAATTTTGTTTGGAATACAAATGAAGTAGCTATTCTCTAAATGAAAAGGCTGAAACAAACAGCCAAATACAAACAATTGATCTTTAAATTCAGAAGATTTGTGCAAAACAGTGTCTTTCCAACTGTGCAATAACTTGGAATCCCACCTGCTCCTCTTGTTTTCTACTTTGTTAGTAAATATCTCGCTCTAGTGAGGGCAATTCTTTAATACTCTTAAAACTGCATTGCAGTGAGTTCTTTCATACCGAGGCTGAAAATATTGTTTTAAGAGTTTTAAAACAATAGTGGTTAAAGCACTCGCCTCACAAGCGAGAGACCTGGGTTCGATTCCCGGCAGGACGAAACATTGGGAAAGTTTCCTTACTCCACACGTCTCTGTTTACCTAGAAGTAAGTAGGAACCTGGTTGTTAGTCGATTGGCGGATTGCTTTTCTGGGGGTAATAATTCTTTCAATTTTTTTTAAAAATTGGTCATTTAATCTACTACTGTTTGTGGGACACTGCTGTGCGCAATTGGCTGTTACGTTTCGCCCACAAAATATACACTCAATTCACTTTACAGTATATTCTGTGAAGCGCTTTGAGGCAAATCCCGAATACGTGATAAGGTGCTATATCAAATGCAAGAATTATTATTATTAAGAATATTAAAGCATTGTCCTTTGGAGTTGAGTAAAGTGTAATATAAGGTGGGTGAGTAATTCTATTAGATTAAGTTGAACTGTGATAGACTGCAAGTAGCACAATTATAGGTTTGTCCCTCCAAAATCTAAAGCATACTGAGTTCAGTGTGGTTTGCCCTACTCTATAATGAATTGGAATAGTACTAATCATAAGTTGCGGTAATAGACAAAAAGTAATTATGCATTTATACGGGTAAAGAGAATTATGATTAGATAGTTCCAGTGGAGGAGCAGGTACCAACATAGGCTTGATAAAATAAGTAGTCTCTTTGTGTTCTGCAATCTTTATGTTCTGCTCCAATAGTAGCTAGTAACCTCGAAGAGCAAGCTAAAGAAGGAATAGGCAGCAATTTAGACTGGGAGCAAACCACCTGCCCACACTTAAGCAGCATGTACGGTAGTTTAGACTGATCCTAGGTGCAATGACATGAGGAAGAATTATAAAAATAAAAAAATTGTGTGTAAAACAGTATAAACACGTACTTAACTCCTCCCTGTGTTTTTCTGTCTGTTCAAAGTACTGGCGGAGTTCTTCTGTAATCTCTACGCCGCTGACATCACACTCTATTTCACTCTCTGACTCCTCATCCATGTCCGAATAGGGATCCGTTTCATCCTGAAAGTTTTCCTCTTGCCTCTTCGACCCGTGTGGGCGCCGCCACTGCTGGCCCTGCCCGTACCTGGCTCTGTGAGCTGCATCCTCGTGCCAATCAGTGAGGCGACAAGCCCCAAGCTCAGGGCTGGACCAGGCTGGGTACTGAAGTGACTCAACTGCCTTCCGGTATGCTCGTCTGTGTTTCTGCAACCACAGCATGGCTTGTTGATAATGCTGCCAATATCGGGAGTACATTTTATGGCTGTACCACATCTCTCTTGGTCTAGTCACCTCTTCACCCTGCTCAAAAGAAAAATGAAAACAATTAAAGGTACTTATATCTGGACGTTGTGTAAAGACAGAATCAAGGGTATTGTTTCCCATGGTTGGTAGCTGTCTGATGATAGGTATCATATTAGCCACTTAGGTGAGGTAGCAGATTGTACTAGAGATAGAAGGGAGGAAAAATATCTAGATTATTCCAAGGAGGTTGATCATTCGCATCAGAAGATTCTGGGTTTGAATCCTGGTGGATCAGCCCTCAACTGAAAGGTTGATAAAATGAGTACAATGTCTAAACATAAAGGGGAGGCTAGTGGTTCCCTCCTGGCCTTGAGGACAAATATCTTAGCTGAGCCAAGAATGTCCGCAGCTTATTGGTTGACCAGCCCGTCTGATTCATCAATGAGGCTCAGAGGGCAGTCTTAGCTGGATGGTTAATGTGAAAGCCACCTAGTGCATTGTACTGGTAAGTTATCTATTATGATTGGAAGGAAAAGCAAGAATCAAACATCATCAGAAGAGGGTATTAGTGATGGTAAAATAAAACTATCGCAATGTTGCTTGGGCGAGAGGTATCCCTTTCACTACCCAGTTCTCTTAACCATTTCTACATGTTGGGGCTTGAGCTCACAATCCAGGCTGACATTCGAGTGAAGTACTACTACTAATAATCGTTGCATTTGATAATAGCGTCTTCAATATCAGGAGGACATCTCAAAACGCTTCACAGAATTTAAGTGGAGTGACTGTGTATTTGTGGATGAATGTAGCAGCCAATTTGTGCACAGTGTTGTCCCCTCCTCTTCAATATCTATATGCTCTCTCTTGGTGACATCATCCGCAGACATGGGGTCAACTTCTACATGTATGCGGATGACACCCTCTCTGCCTTCACCCTCGACTCCAGGACCATTGCTGTCCTGACAGAATGTCTGGCAGACATCAAGGCATGGATGAGAGCTAACTTTCTACAGCTGAATGTCAACAAGACCGAGGCCCTCCTGGTTGGCTCCTGTCAGCATCTCCTCACCTCAGGAGCTGACAGCATCACCATCCATGGTTGCACACTCCTCCTCACTGAACCAGTCCGGAACCTTGGCGTCTTTTTGACCCTCAAATATCCTTTCTACCCCACATCTGTGCCACGACCCGCTCTGCCTTCCCCCACCTCCGCTACATTACCCGGCTCCGCCACTGTCTCACACCGCATGCCGCCAAAACCCTCATACCCACATTCATAACATTGAGACTTGACTATGTAAACTCCTTGCTTGTCGGCCTTCTCAACTTTTCCCTTCATAGGCTGCAGATCATCCAGAACTCTGCAGGCTGTGTCCTCTCCCGCACCAGGCTCCATGACCCTATCACCCCCATTTTCACCTAACTCCACTGGCTTCCCATCACATAGAGGATACAGTTCAAGATCCTGGTCTTCACCTGCAAAGCCCTCCATGATCTTGCTCCCCTCCTATCTCTGCGACCTCCTAAGCCCCTACCATCCAGCTCGCTCCCTCCGCTCAGCGAGCTCCGGCCTGCTTCCTGTCACCCGCCTCTCCCGGCCCACCATTGGCGGGCAGACCTTCTGCCACTCTGCCCCCACACTCTGGAACTCCATTCCACAGTCTTTCCACAATCTCCTGACCCAGAGGTTGGAGTGTTACCACCAACGTACTGGAGGAGTGCTGCGTTACTATTCACCCCACGGCTGTCTGTTTGGCCTTGATGGAATAAATGGCTGCTCTGTTTACCTACAAATACACAGAGAGTGCACTTGATACAAACTAGTTTTTAAGCATTTTAAAATGTTCCTGATATGATGAAGCAAGATAAAAAATGTATTTTTATTTTTCTACATGAAATAACCGATGCCTCCACTAGAGGGCCAGTATTGAGATTATCAAACTCATTGAAATACATCGCAACAGTCAGGCAGACAACCTTCTTTCCCAGTCGAGAGGAATGCTCACCACCTCCACGTACGTGGGTGATGTAGATTGAATCACTTGGGTCAGTATATAGTTACTGTGACCTGATTAATTGGATTTTTTTTTTAGCAATTTAGCAGCGTTTGCTCTGAAATACCTTCTTTCAATATCATCAATCAGATAAATTATGACTTTGCCTTAGTACCACTTTAGTTCATTTAGACATATATTCAGCGATTGACAAGTCTATTGTCATGGGGAGGGGTGTGGCTGAACATCTTACTGAAAGCCATTAATACTGGGTGCTCAGCAATTTTCCACAGTTCTTCCTCAGTTAGATTCCCTCATTGCCCTTGGTTCAGGTTTATTATTATTATTCATAACAGTATTTCTAAAAATAAATAATAATCCTTACATTTGATATATCTTATCACGTGATTGAAAGGTTTCACAAGATTCAATATATATTGCGATAACCATGTATGTGTAGGAGAACGTGGAAGCTAACGTGTGCATACAATGTCTACAAATAGCTGTCAAGTGAATAACCATTTGTTTTGCTTTATCTGGAGGATCGTTGGCTAGGACATCAGGATAAACCCCTTCATTATATGTATAATGCTGTAGGATCTTTAACGTCACCTGAACAGGGCAGATGGGGCCTTGGTTTGACATCTCATCCCAAGGATGGCATCTCCAACAAGGCATCACTCACCTAGCACTGCACTGAAGTATCAACTATTTGTGGCCAACTTGTGGTCCATTAATAAAGCACATTATATCAGGGTCAATCTGTTCTTTGATGAGCAATAGTTCACAGGAGAAAATGCTCTGTCCATTCATTCTAGCTCCTTCTGCCGCTATTGATCAATAAACTGCAGGCTGAGCATGGCTGTGACCAGGAACACAAACCTTGCGTTTGATACAGCACCTTATCACATCTTCGAGATAAACCTGGACTTCAATTCAGAGCGGTCCGGTGTGAGAAGTGATATATTTTTGTGGCAATTGTCACAGTGTTTGGAGTTGTGGTTCAGACAGTCCAGACTGAGCTTTAACTTGGACATCATTAATTCAAGGCTGACAATTTGATAACAGGATTCCAACAAATTCCCCAATGCCCAGTGGGCAGCAGCGGCATCTGCTCCACACGCATCGGCTGCACAAAGTCCAAGGGCCACAGCGGCGGGTCCCACACACACAGAGGGCACTGAGGGCACAGCGGGTGCAGAGGGCACTGAGGGTGCAGAGGGCTCAGAGGGTACAGAGGGCGCAGTGGGCACTGAGGGCGCAAAGGGTACAGAGGGCACTGAGGGTACAGAGGGCACTGAGGGTACAGAGGGCACTGAGGGTGTAGAGGGTACAGAGAACACTGAGCGTGTAGAGGGTACAGAGGGCACTGAGGGTGAAGAGGGTACAGAGGGCACTGAGGTTGTAGAGAGCACTGAGGGTACTGGGGGTGTGGAGAGCACTGAGGGCACTGGGGGTGTGGAGGGCACTGGGGGACTGGGGGTGTGGGGCACTGGGGTGGGGGCAGTGGGGCACTGGGGGTGTGGGGGGCACTGGGGTGTGTGGAGGGCACTGAGGGCACTGGGGGTGTGGGGGCACTGGGGGTGTGGGGGCAGTGGGGGTCTGGGGGCACTGGGGGTGTGGGGGGCACTGGGGGTGTGGGGGCACTGGGGGTGTGGGGGCACTGGGGTGTGGGGGCAGTGGGGCACTGGGGGTGTGGGGGCACTGGGGGTGTGGAGGGCACTGAGGGCACTGGGGGTGTGGGGGCATGAGGGTGTGGAGGGCACTGGGGTGTGGAGGGCACTGAGGGCACTGGGGGTGTGGGGGCAGTGGGGGCACTGGGGGTGTGGGGGCACTGGGGGTGCGGGGGCAGTGGGGTGTGGGGGGCACTGGGGGTGTGGAGGGCACTGAGGGCACTGGGGTGTGGGGGCACTGGGGGTGTGGGGGCAGTGGGGGTGTGGGGGCACTGGGGGTGTGGGGGCACTGGGGGTGGGGGCACTGGGGGTGTGGGGGGCAGTGGGGGCACTGGGGTGTGGGGGCAGTGGGGGTGTGGAGGGCACTGAGGGCACGGGGGTGTGGAGGGCACTGAGGGTGTGGAGGGCACTGGGGGTGTGGAGGGCACTGAGGGCACTGGGGGGCAGTGGGGGCACTGGGGTGTGGGGGGCACTGGGGGTGTGGGGGCAGTGGGGGCACTGGGGGTGTGGGGGCACTGGGGGTGTGGGGCAGTGGGGGCACTTGGGGTGTGGGGGCACTGGGGTGTGGGGCAGTGGGGCACTGGGGGTGTGGGGGCACTGGGGGTGTGGGGGCAGTGGGGGTGTGGGGGCACTGGGGGTGTGGGGGCAGTGGGGTGTGGGGCACTGGGGGTGTGGGGGCAGTGGGGGTGTGGGTCAGTGGGGGCACTGGGGGTGTGGAGGGCACTGGGGGTGTGGAGGGCACTGAGGGCACTGGGGGTGTGGAGGGCACTGAGGGTGTGGAGGGCACTGGGGGTGTGGAGGGCACTGAGGGCACTGGGGGTGTGGGGGCAGTGGGGGCACTGGGGTGTGGGGGGCACTGGGGGTGCGGGGGCAGTGGGGGCACTGGGGGTGTGGGGGGCACTGGGGTGTGGAGGGCACTGAGGGCACTGGGGTGTGGGGGGCAGTGGGGGCACTGGGGGTGTGGGGGCACTGGGGTGCGGGGCAGTGGGGGCACTGGGGTGTGGGGGCACTGGGGGTGTGGAGGGCACTGAGGGCACTGGGGGTGTGGGGGCACTGGGGTGTGGGGGCAGTGGGGGTGTGGGGGCACTGGGGTGTGGGGGGCACTGGGGGTGCGGGGGCAGTGGGGGCACTGGGGTGTGGGGGCACTGGGGGTGTGGAGGGCACTGAGGGCACTGGGGTGTGGGGGCACTGGGGGTGTGGGGCACTGGGGGTGTGGGGGCACTGGGGTGTGGGGGGCACTGGGGGTGTGGGGGGCACTGGGGGTGTGGAGGGCACTGGGGGTGTGGAGGGCACTGAGGGCACTGGGGGTGTGGGGGGCACTGGGGTGTGGGGCAGTGGGGGTGTGGGGGCACTGGGGTGTGGGGGCAGTGGGGGTGTGGGGTCAGGTCGGGGCGGGACCGGGTCATGTACCACAGAATGTTAATTACAACCTTCACTCACACAGACTGTGTACAGAGTCACGTGGTCAGGGCCTGAGGGGGGCGGTCTGGGTACCGGTGTCGGTGGGGGGGAGTGTCGGGGGTGGGGAGGTGTGGGGGGGTGTGGGTGTGGGGGGGGAGGTGAGGGGGGGTGTGGGTGTGGGGGTGGGGAGGTGAGGGGGGGGTGTGGGTGTGGGGGTGGGGAGGTGGGGGGGGTGTGGGGAGGTGAGGGGGGGTGTGGGGGTGTGGGTGTGTGTGGGGGGGGTGCGGGTGTGGGGGTGTGGGGAGGTGAGGGGGGGTGCGGGTGTGGGGGAGGTGTGGGGGGGGTGTGGGGTGGTGGGGGTGGTGGAGGTGAGGGGGGGTGCGGGTGTGGGTGTGGGTGTGTGGGGGGTGGATGTGGGGTGGGGAGGTGAGGGGGTGCGGGTGTGTGTGGGGGTTACCTCGGTCCCCCGGTTCGGGTCCATTCTCTTCCTGGTCCCGCGTGTAGCTCAGATCAGCGCCTGCGCGGTGAGAACCACGAGGTTTGGCGCTCGGAGCGACCCGTACAGTCAGTCAGTCAGTCAGTCACCATGGAAACGGTCACCATGGTGATCCCCACAGGAGTGCAGCCCCACAGCAAACCCGGGGGAGAGGTTCATTTGCTTCATTCACAGAACTGCTTCACTGAGGGGGGAAATTGGGGGTGGGGGTGAGATGGGGGGGTGTGAGATGGGGGGGTGTGAGATGGGGTGGGGGTGTAAGATGGGGTGGGGGTGAGATGGGGGGGTGAGATGGGGTGGGGTGAGATGGGGGTGTGTGAGATGGGGGTGTGAGATGGGGTGGGGGTGAGATGGGGTGGGGGTGTGAGATGGGGTGGGGGTGAGATGGGGTGGGGGTGTGAGATGGGGTGGGGTGAGATGGGGGGTGAGATGGGGTGGGGTGTGAGATGGGGTGGGGTGAGATGGGGGGGTGAGATGGGGGGGGTGAGATGGGCGGGGGTGAGATGGGGGGAGGTGAGATGGGGTGGGGGTGTGAGATGGGGTGGGGGTGAGATGGGGGGGTGAGATGGGGGGTGAGATGGGTGGGGGTGAGATGGGGTGGGGGTGTGAGATGGGGTGGGGGTGTGAGATGGGGGGGTGAGATGGGGTGGGGTGAGATGGGGTGGGGGTGTGAGATGGGGGGGAGGTGAGATGGGGTGGGGGTGAGATGGGTTGGGGTGAGATGGGGTGGGGGTGAGATGGGGGGGTGAGATGGGGGGAGGTGAGATGGGGTGGGGGTGAGATGGGGGGGTGAGATGGGGGGGGTGAGATGGGGGGGAGGTGAGATGGGGTGGGGGTGTGAGATAGGGGGTGAGATGGGGGGGGTGTGAGATGGGGGGGGGTGAGATGGGGGGGGTGAGAGATAGGGGGGTGAGATGGGGGGAGGTGAGATGGGGTGGGGGTGAGATGGGGGGAGGTGTGAGATGGGGTGGGGTGTGAGATGGGGTGGGGTGTGAGATGGGGTGGGGGTGAGATGGGGTGGGGGTGTGAGATGGGGTGGGGGTGAGATGGGGGGTGAGATGGGGTGGGGGTGAGATGGGGTGGGGGTGAGATGGGGTGGGGGTGAGATGGGGGAGGTGAGATGGGGGGGAGTGAGATGGGGTGGGGGTGAGATGGGGGGTGTTGAGATGGGGTGGGGGTGAGATGGGGGGGAGGTGAGATGGGGTGGGGGTGTGAGATGGGGTGGGGGTGAGATGGGGTGGGGGTGAGATGGGGTGGGGGTGAGATGGGGGGAGGTGAGATGGGGTGGGGTGTGAGATGGGGTGGGGTGAGATGGGGTGAGAATGGGGGGTGAGATGGGGTGGGGTGAGATGGGGTGGGGGTGAGATGGGGGGGAGGTGAGATGGGGTGGGGTGGAGATGGGTGGGGTGAGATGGGGGGGGGGTGAGATGGGGTGGGGGTGTGAGATGGGGTGGGGGTGAGATGGGGTGGGGGTGAGATGGGGTGGTGTGAGATGGGGTGGGGGTGTGAGATGGGGTGGGGGTGAGATGGGGGGGTGAGATGGGGTGGGGGTGAGATGGGGGGTGAGATGGGGTGGGGGTGAGATGGGGGGTGAGATGGGGGGTGAGATGGGGTGGGGTGAGATGGGGGGGTGAGATGGGGGGGGGTGAGATGGGGGGGGTGAGATGGGGTGGGGTGAGATGGGGTGGGGTGAGATGGGGTGGGGGTGTGAGATAGGGGGTGAGATGGGGGGGTGTGAGATGGGGGGGGTTGAGATGGGGGGGGGTGAGATGGGGGGGTGAGAGATAGGGGGGGTGAGATGGGGGGAGGTGAGATGGGGTGGGGGTGTGAGATGGGGTGGGGTGAGATGGGGTGGGGGTGTGAGATGGGGTGGGGGTGTGAGATGGGGTGGGGGTGAGATGGGTGGGGTGAGATGGGGTGGGGGTGAGATGGGGTGGGGTGAGATGGGGGGAGGTGAGATGGGGTGGGGGTGAGATGGGGGGTGAGATGGGGGGGTGTGAGATGGGGGGGGGGTTGAGATGGGGGGGGGGTGAGATGGGGGGGGGTGAGAGATAGGGGGGTGAGATGGGGGAGGTGAGATGGGGTGGGGGTGTGAGATGGGGTGGGGGTGAGATGGGGGAGGTGAGATGGGTGGGGGTGTGAGATGGGGTGGGGGTGTGAGATGGGGTTGGGGTGAGATGGGGTGGGGTGAGATGGGGGGGAGGTGAGATGGGGGGGGTGAGATGGGGTGGGGGTGAGATGGGGTGGGGGTGAGATGGGGGGAGGTGAGATGGGGTGGGGTGTGAGATGGGGTGGGGGTGAGATGGGCGGGTGAGATTGGGGGGGGTGAGATGGGGTGGGGGTGAGATGGGGTGGGGGTGAGATGGGGGGGAGGTGAGATGGGGTGGGGGTGTGAGATGGGGGGGGGTGAGATGGGGTGGGGTGAGATGGGGGGGAGGTGAGATGGGGTGGGGGTGTGAGATGGGGTGGGGGTGAGATGGGGGGAGGTGAGATGGGGGGGGGTGTGAGATGGGGTGGGGGTGAGATGGGGGGGTGAGATGGGGTGGGGGTGAGATGGGGGGTGAGATGGGGGGTGAGATGGGGGGTGAGATGGGGGGAGGTGAGATGGGGTGGGGGTGAGATGGGGGGTGGGGTGAGATGAGGTGGGGGTGAGATGGGGGGTGGGGGTGAGATGGGGGTGGGGGTGAGATGTGGGGGGGGTGAGATGGGGGTGGGGGTGAAATGGGGTGGGGGTGAGATGGGGTGGGGGTGAGAGATGGGGTGGGGGTTAGATGAGGTGGGGGTTAGATGGGGGGGTGGGGGTGAGATGGGGGGGTGAGATGGGGGGTGGGGGTGAGATTGGGGGGGGTGTGAGATAGGGGGGTGAGATGGGGTGGGGGTACAACTTTTAACTCCTGTCTATTTGCTGTTCTCTCATGTTGGTGATTGTAACATGATTTCTTGTAACAATAATGTTAGTTGAAGCAATTGCCAAAACAGCAACAAGAAGGAGCATTACTGGTCCACAAATATACCACCTGCACACACCAGGGAGAAGGGAAGAGGGGGCATTCAATCTGAGGGGATTACATTGGGTGGAGGCTCATTTGGAGAGTGAGTAGTTGGGCCAAATGGCCTGTTTCAGTGCTGTTCAGTCTATATCATTCTATGCAATATGTCACAGAAATAACCGAGGTTGACGCCTAATTATTAATAGGTGTTGCACAGGAATGACGCAAAAGAAACATTATTCTATTGTACGATTATTTGGGATTAAGCTGCAACGATTACACTGTTGTGTAACTATAAGTGAACCATAACACAAGTGACACACGTACCACGCAATTAAATAAATACATTTATTTATAAAAATAAATTAACAAAAGCACTTCACAGGATTTCCAGTAAGATAAATTAGCAATGTTTTTAATAATACATTTATTTAATTTAGAGTTTAGCAGCACTGTGAGACACTATCCTGGTTCAAGGGTGCTATACAATGCAAGTTTTGTTTTAAAGCTCAATATCCAATTCTCCCTCCCGAGGAACTACTTTAATCCTCATCTTTTAAATATTAGTTACTTAGCGCTTTCTCTTTCCCCTTTGCAATTTTGTTTTTAGTTTTCACTGATTCAAGTTAATCTCCACAGCCATATTCTGCCACTGAGCAGCTAATGCAGTGGATCAGTCGTTGATAGTCCCTTGTGATATCAAAGAAGTATCTTGATAAGCATTTTAAAATGAATTGCTTGCTCACAGAATTGCACCGAAAGCATGTAGATGTTTTTATAACAAATTAACAATGAAATCACTGAAATAATTATTTTGCCAAGTATGTTTATTTTGTTTCATTCCTGTGCAACACATCTACACCTATTAATAATTAGCTAGCACTCTTCACGCTACCCTGTGTGAAGGGCGCTATATAAATGCAAGTTGTTGTTGTAGGTAGCACTTTTTAGAAAGTTGACAAGTCATAATTTTAATGTGACACTCAAGTGCAATGCTGCGGAAGCGCTGCATTTTCAGAGGTGCCCTTGGCTGAAATATTAAACTGAGATCCCATCTGCCATTTCAGATGAACATTAAAGATCACAACTGTGTTCGTAAAGAGAAGGAAGTTTCTCCCGGGGTCTTGGCCAACAATTCCCCTTCACCCCCTCCCCAGAAAAAATTGCTAATTCGTGGTTTCATGGCTGTTTGTGAGATATTGCTGTGTACAAATTGGCTGCCCCGATTGCTGATAAAACGCATAGTCACTGCATTTTACAATACATTTTAAGAAGCACTTTGGGATGGTTTGGTGATGTGATACCGTGCTATGACAAATGTAGGATTATTCTGATTATTTACTTTAAACAATTTTGATATAAGGCACTATGAAAATTCTTTTTTTCATTTGAAATGTGTGCCCCTGTGTTGCGATTCATTTACATTTGCCCAGTATTGTAATTTTTGCAACTTAATTCCAAATAATCAACTTTTGACCATTCTGACCATACCGTGGAGTCCTGTAGCTCAGTGGTTAGAGCACTCGCTTTGCAAGCGAGAGACCTGAGTTCAATTCCAGGCAGGGCAAAACCTTGGGCAAGTTTCCTTACTCCATACAGAGCCTAATAATAATCCCTCCAAAACCAAAAACAGCAATAAATTGGTCATTTTCAATCTACGACTGTTTGTGGGACATTACTGTGCGCAATTGGCTGCCGCGTTCGCCCACAAATATACAGTCAATTCACTTTACAGTGTGTTCTGTGAAGCGCTTTGGGACATCCTCCCGACGTGAAAAGCACTATATCAAATGCAAGGATTATTATTATTATTATTATTATTTGTAGATTCTGCCAAGTCCACTTCCTTGGATTCAAATTTAAAGGTCTTAAATCAATACATATCTCATTTCAAGTTCAGTAGTCAAAAAGTGTTTTGGTAATAAATATCAAATGCAAGGATATTATGATTTATATGTTACCAATACTGCTGTCTACTTACTGAGTTCAAATTGTTAAACCATTTAATGAATTTGTTTTCACATTCAGTATGGCTGAAGGTTA